AATTAAAAATGAAGGCAAAAACATCTGTAGCGATGGAAAAAAAGGGAGAGATAGTATTCCAAGATGCTTATATTCTTATACTGACATAGTAATCTATGTTTATAGTATTCCAATATGATTATATTCTTATACTGACATAGTGAGCTATGTTTACAGTATTCCAAAATGATTATATTCTTATACTGACATAGTGATCTATGTTTACAGTATTCCAAAATGATTATATTCTTATACTGACATAGTGATCTATGTTTATAGTATTCCAATATGATTATATTCTTATACTGACAGTGATCTATGTTTATAGTATTTAAAGATGATTATATTCTTATACTGACATAGTGATCTATGTTTATAGTATTTAAAGATGATTATATTCTTATACTGACATAGTGATCTATGTTTACAGTATTTCAAGATGATTATATTTGTATATTGTCATAGTGATCTATGTCTATAGTATTTCAAGATGATTATATTTTTATACTGACATAGTGATCTATGTTTATAGTATTCCAATATGATTATATTCTTATACTGACATAGTGATCTATGTTTATAGTATTCCAATATGATTATATTCTTATACTGACATAGTGAGCTATGTTTATAGTATTCCAATATGATTATATTCTTATACTGACATAGTAATCTATGTTTATAGTATTTCAAGATGATTATATTCTTATACTGACATAGTGATCTATGTTTATAGTATTTCAAGATGATTATATTCTTATACTGACATAGTGAGCTATGTTTATAGTATTTCAATATGATTATAATCTTATACTGACATAGTGATCTATGTTTATAGTATTCCAATATGATTATATTCTTATACTGACAGTGATCTATGTTTACAGTATTCCAATATGATTATATTCTTATACTGACATAATGATCTATGTTTATAGTATTTCAAGATGATTATATTCTTATACTGACAGTGATCTATGTTTACAGTATTCCAATATGATTATATTCTTATACTGACATAGTGAGCTATGTTTATAGTATTTCAATATGATTATATTCTTATACTGACAGTGATCTATGTTTACAGTATTCCAAAATGATTATATTCTTATACTGACATAGTGAGCTATGTTTATAGTATTCCAATATGATTATATTCTTATACTGACATAGTGAGCTATGTTTATAGTATTCCAATATGATTATATTCTTATACTGACATAGTGAGCTATGTTTTTAGTATTTCAAGATGATTATATTCTTATACTGGCATAGTAATCTATGTTTATAGTATTTCAAGATGATTATATTCTTATATTGACATAGTGAGCTATGTTTATAGTATTCCAATATGATTATATTCTTATACTGACATAGTGATCTATGTTTATAGTATTTCAAGATGATTATATTTTTATATTGTCATAGTGATCTATGTCTATAGTATTTCAAGATGATTATATTCTTATACTGACATAGTGATCTATGTTTATAGTATTCCCAAGATGATTATATTCTTATACTGACATAGTGATCTATGTTTATAGTATTTCAAGATGATTATATTCTTATACTGACATAGTGATCTATGTTTATATTATTCCAATATGATTATATTCTTATACTGACATAGTGATCTATGTTTATAGTATTTCAAGATGATTATAATCTTATACTGACGTAGTGATCTATGTTTATAGTATTCCAAGATGATTATATTCTTATACTGACATAGTGATCTATGTTTATAGTATTCCAATATGATTATATTCTTATACTGACATAGTGATCTATGTTTATAGTATTTCAAGATGATTATATTTTTATATTGTCATAGCGATCTATGTCTATAGTATTTCAAGATGATTATATTCTTATACTGACATAGTGATCTATGTTTATAGTATTCCAAGATGGTTATATTAATTTAAAATATGTCTTATTTTGACGTACCTACTGAAAATGATTCATGAATTTTGCAATGGTCCATATAGGCCATTAATATAAGCTTCTCTTCTCAATTATACAGAGCATCTGTTTCTCAACCAAATTGACATTAAAAATGGAACAATCCGCACCACATACAATCTAATTAAATTTAGATAACAAAAACTAATAACGAAACGAATTGTAATCTAATTTTAATTACATTGCAGCACATATAACTAAGACTACCCATGCACATTCAAATATCACAAGATACACTCTTTTTTGGAGATATTTTATTAGTGGGTAAAATCTATTTCCAACAACTGGACAATGAAAAAAAGGGATGAAATACAATAACAAAAAATATAACAATGAAAAAAAAAATTGCCAAAGAAACTTTTTATCACCAGCAACAAGCTTATAAATATAATCTTTAATTCACAATAAAACATGGTTTTCAACACAATGTCTACCTTAATTTTTGCTCCACAATTATTTCGTAACAGCATCGTTCTTCACTATGGTCACAGCAAAATAAAAAAATAGGGTAGAAAAAAGCAGAAAATAGGGTTAACAACTTAAAACTAAAGAGAATTCAGCACATTAAGATGATCAGTTTTTCTATAAAAAGTGCACAACTAACATAGTTTTGGTCTCTTTTTTTTTAATTTCCCCTGTTCTGATGTTATAAATAAAATCTCTTAAAAAACTTTGTATAAAAATAACTTTTGAGTACACAAATCTCAAAATGTTGACCTTATTTTGACAGTTTATATTTTTATACAAGTGAGGTGTGTGATAACTAGTGA